GTGCTGTTTCTGTGGCAAACGCCTCCTCTCTTTGATTGTTAGTATAGCCATGTCGCGACATTTGAGCATTTGCAAGTGGTTTTGTCTTCTTCTAATAGTGTTTGTGGACTGGATTCTCCGGTTTTGGTAAGTCCCCTTCTTCATTTGTCTCATATTATTTTTGGATGGTTTTGAGGTCTCGTGTGTGGTGGTTGTCTAGATGATCGTCATTCTCGGGTATGAACCTCTACTTTCGAATGTGAGAATGTTGGTTTCTCTGCGCTTGCGATTTCTGTTTGATCTCTTACGATTACATCGATCAACTTTGTTTGTAGTAGTTTAAGGAGTTATGGCCCTGTCTAGAGCAAAGGGTTTCGACTTGGTTGAGCTCTTTATTTTGTTTGGTTTGGCTATGCAGTTTTGTTAGGTGATATTTTAGTTTTCTTGTCGGGTTCGATCTATTGCCGTTTTACACTGTTTTTGGCGTTGCAAAGTTCAAGGTGGTCGACTCCTTGTCTTTTACTTAATTATCTTCATTGATGTCTAGTCAGTTCAAAAGCATCTACTGAGGTGTCAATTTGTCGTGTATCTCAACAGCTCCGTTTGCGAAAGAATGATAGGAAACTTGATGCACTACCAGGGTTCATTCTTGTCAAATTAGAAGCCTAGGAATGCTTTGTTTGTGAGGTAGTGTTGATTCGCTATAGGAGGTATCGCTGGTCGTTTGTTTGGGACTCAAATTGTTCGTTTCAATTATTTTAGATCGTCGTTGAGTTATGGAGTTTGGTTAGTGAGACATGTACGTTTAGAGTTCGAGCCTTCGTCGGTGATGGTGTCGGGATTAACACCCACCTAAAGCTCCGATCCATATCCGAACTGACCCGAAAGATTATTAGAGAGGCAGACGATCTAGGCCAACGATGATGAGCTTGGTCCGAATAGATGAGCTCGGTCCAGGTCCACCATGATTTAACTGATCTAAGAGCTTCCAAAAAAAAAAGAAAGGATAAAAGAAATCTCCCTTATCATGTTATGGTTTAGTCGATTGATATAAATATGCATGTACGTATTTTGAATTGAAGATCGACAATTCATTCAATAAACACAAGCATACTTTTGCTTTTTTGTCCATCGTGTTATCAATCTTTGATATATTATTCTTCGATACATAAACCCTTTAGATAGTTTGAAGGATCCGAATAGATTGCGGTGTCCGGATTCATCCGTCGGTTTCCAATTGTTCATTTTTCAATTATGTTTTCCTTTGATTTTGGTCTCGACTAAACTCGAATTTGTATTTTTCTTCGTATCCTTCTCTGTTTGATAAAGTATTTCATATAGATGACTAAAAAAAAGAGAAAACTTTCATCACCCAAGTAACGTCTAAAGAAATTTTAAAGGTTAATAATCATAACCATTGACACAACTGTTGGGCCCGGACCTGCGGCCCAACATTCTGAGCAGATCGCAAGTCGCAAATCACCAAAGGAGGCAGAGGCCCAGCGAGTTCGGGAGAAGCCCAGCAGGCTGCCAGAGGCCCACTCCAACTGTTAACTACGGTCTGATCACATTTAAGGCATATCCAAACTGAGCTTGGTCAAAACAGGGGTTTATCAGATTAACCATGGTCAGCTGAACTCAGGTTAAACCCACCCCCCTTCACTATAAATAGAGGTCAAAAGATGGTGTAAAAGAGGGGAAAAAACGACCAAAGAAGAAGTGCAAACCCAACCACTCGCGAGCTCTCTAAATCCTACTCTTTACCGAAAGTCTAGCAGTTCGGAGTCTGTCCGATCTGCCACGATCTCTTAACTAGCGAACTGATAGCAYGKGATCTGTCCRGWCTATCTTTAGCGATCTACYTGTAKTTAMACCTCTTCGACTTAACTTTCTATATACGAGGRTCTCCGACCTCTGATCTATTATAAATTYATTGTCGACCTGCTTGGATCAACAATTGGCGCGCCAGGTAGGGGGCTAGGAGATTTTCTGACGCAAAGAAGTATGAGTCCGCACGTATCCATAAGTCAACATCCTGGAGAAACATCAAATCAGGAAATHTTGGAGGCAACTCGCGAAGCTCCACCTATCACAATGGACTCCAGCCCGGTCGCCACTCAGACCGCAGCAAATGAAGAAACGAATGCCACAGCTCGTGGCCCTGAAGCAACGACGAATGCGGACGGTCAGACTGATCTCGTTCGTATCCTGGGAACCCTCATGAGACACTTTGACCAACAAGACGACATGGTTCGTCAAACAAACGCCCGTCTGGACTCCCTCACAACGGCTCAAACCATCATACAAGAGCAGCTCGACTCTTCCCGACCTGCGAACTCGCAGCACCCTAGGGCAAACTCATCCCCGTCTCCTGCTGAAGAACATGGACACCCAGCCGTCCGGCATCGGATCATTAACCTCGATACTCCATCACACACTCCGATCAGCATGCAGCTCAAGCGCGCAACTCACCCAAGGGAACACTCTCCAGCCCACGGTTCCGAAATTGAAAGCATCAAAGCCTC